GGGGGTCTTGTTGTATTTTAGAAAGTAGATGAAACTAAGGAAGTGAAAATAAAGGAAAGTATGAAGCCTAACTTAACAGTAACATGCTCAGAAGGATGTACCGAGAACTCAGTGGGCACGACTCTAAACTATAGCGTAGATACGAGTTAAGTTCGAATAGAAACACACCGTCGGCCTATTTGTTTCAGTAAATATAATTTAAGCATCTTTTTACTACAGTTCCCCGAGAAAAGAACCTGGACTCAGATGAGAGCAACAAGCTTTTCGCTTATCATAGTCATTGAATGGACAGTATCTGACGACCAAAGAATAGGGGAAGACCAAAAGTCACCATCAAACTGAGAAAAGCTGTAAAATATTAATAAAGGAAAATGTAATTTTCAGTATTGTCAGTATGTTAGTGTTTTCGCGCCTATAAATAGCTGCTTGCACTGTATTCTTCCCATGAAGTTGAGGTTGTTTCGGAACGTTCTCAGGTCTGCCGGGGTAATAGTATAGGTTGTGAAGCGCATAGAGCTTGCTGTTGAGTGGGGGATTTGCGCTATACAAATGCTAGATCTATTTATTATTATTATTACAAGAAGAAGAGAGCTTAATGGAAATTATCGCTTGAGTATGAGAAACAAATTTAAGAGGGGCAATCAGAAATTATTAATAATATGGTGTGAAGCAGTGTGTTCAGAAGAACTGTGCATACGTGACATGAGACCTGTAGGCCCACCTGGGTCGGCGGACATGGATGGTGGGTCCTCTTGACGAGCTGTTCTCAATCACGACACAGGTCGCCTTAGGCAGTGGTTACAGACTACAAACGAGCAGACATGGTCTTGTGGATTGGTTGAGTCCCTTACACATACCGCTCCCTGTCGCTTACACTGTACGGATGTGTACCCACACGCATTAGCGCATAGTCATAAAATAAAGACACACCGAGGCACATATAGACACACATACACACAAACGCGAGCGCGTGCGCACACACACATACATACAAATACACACCCATACACACACACACCAGGACTTGACGATTGATTTTTTAGACAAAGTGTAACATCGAAATGAGCACCTGAAGTGTAGACCACATTTCAGGAATTGGGAGTGTATCGTGCCACATGAGGACTTTATAATGTAAGGTCTGACCACCATGTGTTCGAAAGGCAATCTAAGACTCGGGACTTTGAGTGCTAAAAGGGGGGACCAAGGGGAAAATCTCCTTTTCATGGATGTAAAAAGACAAAATAGGATTGGAAAGTGCACCGTGCCAAGCTGGTACCTGTGAAAGACCCCACTTATCTGTGTAAGGAAAAAGTCGCAAAGCCTTTTTTTTTATGTGTAAGACTACATTCGTGTGTATACTATAAGAAAGTTGTTAGACTTTGGTAAAGAAAAAAGCGTATTCTTGTTAATGATCACACTGATTTTGTTATCTGCTGATGGTACACATGATAGATCTACGAGGTCAAGATTCGCCTGGAGCCAGTGGGCAGAGGTTTTATAATTGTCTGGAATTAATCAAGGTTTCTAACTAAACATCCCCATAAGATCAATTCCTCATCCAAATAATTCTACGAAATGACATATGGAACAATGCTGACAAAAAGGTAATTCTTCTGAGAATAAAATCCATACTTTGCTAAGCAAAGTCGTTTATAATTACATGTATAGGAGCTGGTGTTAGCAGAGTAATACGATGTGGGTTGCAACAAATCTCTCTTAGATTAGTAAACTTCGTTAACATCGGTGCTTTGAAACTGAATACCACATATTTGGTATCAAAATGCTTATAAACGAATGGAAAAGTCGCAATTCTTTTTTTTTATGTACCAAATGAAAGCAAAGCCCACATAACATGTCTGTTGTGCGTGCGCGTACAGAACCGCTCTGACATTCATCCCAGAGAGAGAGAGAGAGAGAGAGAGAGAGAGAGAGAGAGAGACAGACAGACAGACAGACAGACAGACAGACAGACAGACAGACAGACAAAGACACAGAGACACAGAGACACAGAGACACAGAGACACAGAGACACAGAGAGTAGGAGACTCTCTCCTTCCCCGCAGCAGCAGCAGCAGCAGCAGCAGAAGAAGAAGAAGAAGAAGAAGAAGAAGAAGAAGAAGAAGAAGAAGAAGAAG